CACTATTTTTTATATAAGCCGTTTTATAAATTATAGCTTTAGTAGAACTTTATGTTAAAGGAAATTTATTGAGGTTATGAGGCAAAAAATAAACATTGGACATTTGTAACAAGAATGTCTGAGAATAAATTGATGATATAACTTATATAGAAAATAGGTTTTATTATAATTAAATACGGTTTACAATAATAATAAATAAATATTTTCATTTTATTTATAAAATGTGCTGACTTAATGTTAAAATAAATTAATCACTAATGATGATTACCTTATCAAAATGCATAAATGTTTTCAGAACTGTACACCAAAAAAGTACCTAGTAAAATTCCCTAATTTTAATCTTTTTTAAAGCACATTTATTAAAAAATTTTTTTATTATTCTATTTATTAGCAGCTTTAAAAAAACTTCCTCAAGAATTTACATATGTCATCTCGCACATTTTTTAAAATTTTCCGTCAAATAATACCTTATAGGATTCACCAAAATTAAACATAAATTAAAAAATTGTTTTCAATTATGTTTTCAATTCAGGAATTAACATTTGACCCTAATAAAAATTTGTAAACAATATTTTAGAAAAAAAAATTAAAAACTAGATTTTTCTGGTTTTAGACCAAATTATTATATTTTTCACAGACAAACGATTTAATGGAAATGTTTTATAAAAAAGTATAATCATGCTTAATAACAATTTATATAACATATTAAAGTATAACATATTTAAAAAACAATGTTCACTTTTTGAACTAAATTAATAAATTGAAAAAAAAAAAAAAATAGGTATTTATAAAACAAATTAAAATAAAAATTAAAATTACATATTCATATATTTATATATATAGATTTCAGTTTGAACTGATAACGTTCAACACGGCATATAAAATCCACTTTGAAACCGATTGAAACCGGTTCAAAAAATGCGCCTTCGACTTCGACTTGTTTTTAAATGTTCTGTCTGTCCATTCAATAGGGCAGCCAAGATAATCGCTTCTGCTACTGATGAAATTAATAATTCACTTTTTTTTTATTGCACTAGATTTCAAGACGAGCTGCTAGATTCAGTACCATTATTGACCTTATCAACTGATAAAGTTAAAAATATTCTAATGGCATAATCAAATGTCTACAAAAGCAAACTGCTTCACTACATATTGTATATGTAAGCGTATTAAAATCTCATTGTTTATACCAGTTTAATACACAGAAATCGCTCTGTCGGCAGATGTCATTTTCCAGTGGGTTCTTTTATTAATTGTCTGAATTAATATTTGATCTCTTCATTAAAATTGGTTTTAACTGGTTTTGATAATACTTGTAAAGCTGTGATTGATGGCAATCACATGCAATAATTGTATTAAGGATAGAACATACATATATAATAGTATATGTAAATTATAATGGATATATGCAATTTAAAAACCCATATTTGTTCTAAAATCTTAATTGTTTCTAAAGTATATACAAAGTTTATTTTTGATATTGAAATTTATTTTTAAAATTGTTAACTAAATTATATCTTGCTTTTTTTGTGAATTATACCAATTTCAAAATTTCAAATTTTTTGTGAATAGTCAACTTTAGTAAAAAAACAGTTGGAATATGAATTCAAGTAATTAGTAGTAAGGAGTGTGGATATATTAAATGCAAATTAACGTTTAATTCTTTTATATTTATGATTGTTTATAGATTAGATTTTAGTTTTAAATTTATAGCAAAAGTTGACAGATATTTAATGTCAATTTTAATTTAAAGTCTATTATGTTATGTAGTATATGTCAGTATAACAGCTATATACACAGTTCATTACAAATAAATTTGAATATGTTTATTTCTAAATTTTGTAATTAAAAATATTAATAAAAATTTTTTTGAATAGAAAGTCTTTTGTATAAAATTCTATTACTTATAAAATTTATTGTGAACTGTTTAGTTTTATGTGCAGCACAGAAATATAAAAAATATTACTGCTTTATTTACTTAATTAGTGTAACACTTTTAAGTAATCCTCTAAATGATTTTAAGAATTTTAAAAAAACTTTTAAAGTATTTATAAACTAGCATTTGAAAAATGACCTTATTATGTACTCTTATATACTCCCCTTTTGCAATAATATGCATTCACCCCTTGAAATTTGGTGAAATTTAAAAAATGTAAAAGAAATTTATTTTGTCATGCTTAAGTTATCAACTTTGCTGACTTTAACTAAATTTAAGTAAGTTTCCAGACTTATGTTAAGACTTTCATAGTCCTAAATACATATAATATGTACTGAAATCCATTTATTAAGCAATTTATTTATATAGATGTGACGGCAAATGTCTGACCGCATCTTTTCGACTCTGTTTTGTGTTATATGAAAACAGCAAATATCAAGAAAAAGTGGAAAAATTTATATTTAAATAAAATAATGTTGTTTTATTTATATATATATATATATATATATACAGTTAAACTTCCATAACTCGAACTTCTATAACTCGAATTTTCTATAACTCGAACCAAAGGTTTTAGGGAGCAAATTACATACAATTCTGCTTTCATAATTTTCATAACTGGAGGTAAGTTTAAATTGTTGTTATAAATAAGAACATGTGTTGTATATTAAGTAAAATTGTTTACTTAAAACATTGAGTATAAATATTATAGAGTAGAAATCTGAAAACAAACTCAATTTGCTAAGTAGACCTGTGGGGGCGCGGGTAACAATGTTACATGAAATAGAGAGCACAATGAATTTCTCTACAACGCTCTATAACATAGTGAGCACGTGCATGTAAGTTTTTTGTTATGATTTTGTTTCCTTGTACTCTATTTTGTACCCTTGTGTATTTTTATTTCATTGAAACTAAATATCACTTTTCAGCACCAAATTTAAATAGAGGAATATATTCTATTTTATGGTCATAGGCATAGGCATATGAACATACTATTATTTTTGTTTCAGAACTTCCTAGAAATAAAGGCTACTCATATTTTTTTTAATGAATTTTATTAGTTTTGGGTTTATTCTCATATATTCCTTACATTCCCATATATATATATATACATATATACGTAGAGAAATAGATTTTTGGCCCCAAATACGGAAAGAAGATGAGGTTGTAACTGCACCATCAGAATTGGTTAAACATTTTTATATTTATTCTTTTTATTTATTTATTTATTAACACATGAAGCTTATAATATATACATACATACATATGTGTATACTGAAGCAATTAGAAAGCCTTTACATATACATACATATTTTTAAAAACAGTTTTAAATCAGAATCAAAACAATAAAAATAATAGTAGCATTGTTTCTGATATGAAACCCAAAAAAATCAAACTTCTTTTTACGCTTACAATTTCTTAAAATTGGATGCAAAATTAATACAAACATACCTACATGCTGAGAAATAGAAAAGAAATATGTAAACATATACAGTGATGAACAAAATTATTGGCACAGCAAGCAAAGTGAACTTTTGCACTATTTTTATCCTGTTAATTATGCGATTTTTAAAAGTTCAATTTGCTTACTGTGCCAATAATTTTGTTCGTTACTGTATGTATGCTAGTAAAGTGCCCATGCAATATGAAAGCACACAAAAAGACTAGAGTAATATTTTTTTCCTACATATACCTTCCTAATAAATTCGCAGAAGCACTGATCAATATAACAAACGACGAAAAAAGTTATTTGAGAGAATCGTCTTTACTTTAATTTCCAAAGCAATTCAGAAAACAAGACATGAAGAGAATGGAGTGTTTTTTGAGTGCAAAAAGGTTGCCAGCAGCAGCAACCTCATACAAAAATTTGCTTGTACGAGATTGCTACTCTATAATATTTATACTCAATGCTTAAAATCAATTGAATTGCCGTTTACAGGAATAAATAACAGCACGGGAATAAGTAAACAGCAATTCAATTGATTTTAAGTAAACAATACACATTTATCTGCGCAATTTCGCATAATATATAACACATGTTCTTATTTATAACTTGAACTTTTATAACTCGAATTTCTCTATAACTCGAATAAAAATTTTATTCCGTGCCGATAGGAATATGGGAAAGTGCATTCCATAAGTCGAATCTTTGTTTTAAGTATAAATGTATTTTGCTGTTAGGGGAAGGTCCTTCTTCCAAGCCAAATGTTTAATGTTTTCTTCTTATGTTGCATCTTTATACAAATGTTAGTTGATGGCGGTGTGGTTTAAAGTAAATAAAATAATTTCCAATGCTACTCTTAATTATTACATTGAGCTTGATAATGATATTTGTACATCAAACTTTCCTACAGATGACGATATTATTGAGCACTGGATGCAATTGTAAACGCAACGGAATGACGGTTCGATGGATGTAATTGTTCATCAGCCTTCTAAGAATGAAGTAGAAGACTCATTCAAAATTCTAAATTTATATTTGCAAACGAATGCTACTACAACTGATGATCACTATAAGAGTATGAATCAAACGATATCACTATTTACTGAAAATAAGAAAAGGAAATTAAAGACCCAAATCCTAATTTCTGAATATTTTACTTCACTGTACCTTCTGTGCTTTATTTGATTGCAAATAAATAAATATCTTGAAATGTAATTCTAGTTTCTTTTTTTTTTTAAAAAAAAAAAATAAAAAAATTCTCCTACTCGAAGTCTCTATGAGCTGAATCTTTTCTTTGCAAAATTGGAATTCGAGTTATGAAAGTTTGACCGTATATACGTACCTTTATTTACTATTACTTTTTTAACTCTTCATATTCAGTTCAAATTTTTTTTAACTATTCACAATGATATGAATCAGCGAATATTTTATTAAAATCGTTAATGTTATACTTACCCAAAGCAAATAAATATGCATAAAATTTTAACACTTTATCGAATTAAGTACAGTTATTCTTTCAACAGGACCGTCTTGTCTGGTCTGAATATCCCCAATTATTATAAATTCTATTGTGAATATTAGTTATTAGTAAGAAGAAAAAGTTCGCGTATATATTAGTTACGTTAATGTTGCTACTATAAAATGTAAATAAATAATTAATTTATACAAAATTATTAGATTAAGGGTCTTTATATACAAATGTTGTTGCTACATGAAGGTAATTTTAAATTGTTGTAATAAATAAGAACATGTGTTGTATATTATGCGAAATTGCGCAGATAAATTTGTATTGTTTACTTAAAATCAATTGAATTGCCGTTTACGGGAATAAGTAAACAGCAATTATTTAATAAAGATAAAATACTATCACAAAAATTTGATTTTTCAAGGTATAAGTTATTTATACATTTATGTACTTTCACGTAAGCGTTTTGTAAAATTGCTTTTAAGTTCATTTTCAAGATTTTGTCGGGAGTGTACGAAATCCAAATTTCATATCGCCTTTGTCCGTTTCGAAAATTGAGCGCATTTCCTATTTACTCAAGAGCTTTGTATTCTAAAAATTTTTGCTTTATATACATAGAAGATATAAGTTAATTAAATCTTTTTAAAGTAAATAACGTTATCTTAGCATTTTTATGGTACCTTAATATTATTTCTCTTAGACAACTGATTGCTTATCAGACAGTTGCGCACGCAATTCTGTTTAGATAAGCTTACAAGAATTGTCAATAATGTATTATTCTTTTTCAGATATATGTACGAAGAACATCTCAACTCTATTGTAGCTAAAAACAATTTACATACGAATTTATTTCATCCACAATGGCTGATTTAGCACCCACAATGGTTCCAGATGGTGGTTGGGGATGGGTTGTAGTTGCAGCTGTAGCGTTAATAAATGTAAGTTTTTAAGTGTTTTCTTGTGAGATACATATTTTTAACAACCTGCCAAATATTTCAGATGACAAATCAATCCATACTCTCCGTTTTTGGTTTTCTGTTTGGTGGTCAACTAAAAAGTATGAATCAAGAAACTTTCACTGCTGCACTAATCACGAATCTCAACAGTTTTGCTCTTAATTTTTCTGGTTTGTTTATTGGACCTGCAATTAAGAGTTTCAAGCCCCGCAATGTAGCTGCCATTGGTTGTGTAATGGTTTCGTTTGGCATGTTTATTTGTTCTTTCGCAACAGAGGCTTGGCATTTTATAATTGGTTACAGTTTCTTTGTAAGTAAAATTGTATTATTTTGAATTCGCATTATATTAAAGCACACATTTTATATACATAGGTGGGTATGGGTCTAGGATTAATATCGCCATCCACATTTATGGCAATTAACTCATATTTTAGCAGCAAACGCGGACGTGCCGTAGGCTTGTCTTTAGCTGGTGCTGGCCTTGGACAAGTTTTTATACCGCATGTTGTACGCTTTTTTCTGGATAATTACGGCTTTCGCATAGCAGTTCTTGCCATGTCATTACTTTCACTCACTGGCGTAAGTACTTTTACAAATGGATTAATTTAAAATTCTTATTAAATATTTACATTTTATAAATAATAGATTTTTGGTGCGCTGCTATTGAAGCCTTTGAAAACAGTTCACAACAACAGGCAACATATGCAACATTTGCTCAACACGGATGTTGAAAAAAACAAGGCGCAAATACCACTTAAAATTGAGATTATAAAAGCAACAACACAAATTGAACCTAAAGAGGTTAATAAGGAAAAAACTACAGGACAAAAATTATGTAGCAAAATCTGTCATCGTCTTGTGCAAGCCATGGACTTGGAATTGTTGTGTGATCCAGTTTTCTGGAGCATAATTATGGGAATGGCATTAGTTTACACATCAACAATTAATTTTACAATGCTCTTCCCAAATTTTCTACAAGTAAATAAAGTTAACGTAATAAGTTATGCATAGTTTAATTAAATTCTATTCTATATCACAGTACTCAGTTGGATTTTCCAGCAGTCGTACTACTACTTGCATGTCCGCTATTGCTGGTGCTGACATCGTTTGTCGCTTGCTGTTACCTTGTATAACAGACAAATTAAAAATATCTTATCGCGTTATATTTTTACTAGGCACAGTAGGACTACTTGTTTCCCGCGCAGGTATATTAACTCTATATATTAAATAAATATAAATATTTAGTAAATTATTTTCAATTGCAGCTTTGGCAGAATCCACCGATATGACTACTATAATTATGATGTCAATATTTACTGGAATGACAAAGTCTGCAACAGTACTGAATAATAACTTAACAATTTCCAGTTACTGCAGCTCAGATAAGTTGGCTGGTGGTCTGGGTTTAAATATGATATCTAAAGGTATTATAGTCATAACAATTGGCCAGTTACTTGGATGGATACGTGACTATACTGACTCATACATTCTTTGCTTACATGCTCAGAATGTATTACTTTTAATTGTTGTATTACTTTGGACTCCGGAAATATTTTATCGCTGGAGAAAGCAACGAAAGGCAGATAAGCGAAATAAGTTACCTATAGGCGTGACGGATCCTGCTACCCCAGAAGAGCTTGCTAACATAAACAAATGTTGATTTAGTAACACAGTATTAAAACTAATTTAAACAAACTAAATTTATGCTATTTTGTCAAAGGTTTTTATACAAAATTGTGAAAATGTGATATTTTTGTATTTTTAATAAATTTAAGAGTAGATAATAAACTAAGTTATTAAGTCGTGGAAGCTCATTTTCATTTAATTCATATCTAAGATCATTTAACCCTATTTATAAACATTTTTAGTAATAAGGATCAATTGATACTTTAAAATAAATATATAACAATTATAGAAAACTTAAACACTATTGTGCTTTTATTAATTATGTGTTTAGCAGTTTACTTTAACATGATGCGAAATTTCATCAATTCTGGTAAATTATGAAATTTAAAGAATCACAGTGAAAGCTAGTTAGCAATTGTAAATATGTATATTAAAAAAAGTTATAACCCACAAAGAACTATATTTCATGAGACATGACAAATATTATTATTATGTTGAAGCTGTTTTGAGCTAGTGCATTTAAGCGCTGATACTCTTTCCTAACTCGAGATTTCTTCAAAACCCCTCTCTACACCTTGACTAGATTATTGTTTATCACTTCATCAGACTAAGCAATAATTGACCTCAGATCTGCATACCTTCCCGAGGTAATGGAAGTGTGGTTGTGTTGAAAGAGAGAAGGTTCTAGGTATGCCACGATGTACTTCTCTGAGCCATTCGTTTATGCATACGACTATTATCATTTACCACACCAACAGAGACTATATAAACTGGTGGGTTTTATGTTTGACATTTAAATTAATGGAATGTCTGAGAATTTTTAAATTAAGTTCAACATTAATTTTTAATGTTGAAATTAAGAAGAGCTCTTTAGTAAGGCGAAGATATCAGTTTCAATGGTTTTTCAGAAATAAAGAATTACTAATCATAATCCGTCTGATTCATACCTTAGGTACCGGCATAGATTTGGAAAGAAAAGCTTAAATTTTATTGTTTACTGAAATTTAACTTGTGCAGCAAAAATGTCGTTATTTGTTTTAAATTAGTGAAATCTGAAGACATATTTTAAATATTAAAAACATTTGAATTATTTTCGTATAAACTAACCATTTTATTATAAATTTTTAAAAAGATCCTTCAAGGCTCAATTAGATACACTTTGAAATTTTAAAATAGCAAATGTTCTACACCGGCAGTTTTATCAGTTGCTACACCTTCACCACTTGGAGTGCTAAAGAAAGTTCTACGTTCAAGTCCATTGGCAGTAACAATACCAATTCTTACAACACCTCCGGAGCTTCCATCAAATGTCTGAGCATGACGAACAGCTAAAAATTAAAACAATACATTTATATGGTAAATTAACTTACATTGTAGCTTTAATTAAATACCTTTTTTAACGAGTTCAACACATTCCTCTTTGCTCATGCCAGGATGATATAATTCCTTTATAAACCCATATATATAACCAGAGCCAGAACCACCAATTGCAACTGGTTCACGTTTAACCATGCCACCTAATGGTATAGTAAATACTTGTCCGCCCTTATGAACATCCCAGCCAGCAACTATTATTCCCGCTACCAATGATGAACGATAATTATAACAATAATTACGAAATTCATGAGCGGCATCTGAAACCAATGGTGGCTGATCTGTTTGGTTTTCTTGATATTCCAATGCGTATGCAACAATATCAGCAATTGCTTGTGTATCAGCAGCGGATCCACTTCGGCAACAGTATATTTTATCACTGATTCGAGTCAGCTTATCAGTGACTCTGTTTGCTACATATGAGCCTGAACTTGTACGCGAGTCAGCACCAATAACAACTCCACCTTCGAATTCGACTGCCATAATGGTAGTCTAAAATATTCAAGTATTAATTAATTTTCGACTAATATTGCAATAAATTTTTACTTACACCGGTGCTAACAGCTTTATCCATCCAATCCATACCATTCACCATATTTATTTCTGTGTATATTATTAAATAAAAAAGACTCCGGCGAAACACAACGCAAATTCGCTAAATGACTGGCTTGTTTCATATAGAAATGTCAAGTCACAAGTAGAGTTGCCGTTACAATAAAAATAATATTTAATGAAAATGTGATGCCACACTTATATCAAGCATAATATACCTTGCGCATGTGGAACACATAAAACAAACCGAATTGCTAAAGTAACTACAACCGTAAATATTTGTTTCATAGTTGTAAAAAACTGCATTAAGTTTGGTTGAAATAAATTGGGATCACTTTTAAAATTAGTTAAATGCATATTTTTGACATGTTTTTTATTGCGTTGTGTACAATATGATATATAAAACTTGTAAACACTAAAAATTAATTATTTCAAACAGAAGAAAATAAAATAAATAATTTTATCTTATATATTTAAATTAATTTATTTGTTTTTGAATTAATTACTGGATTAAACGTTTATATGCTTTTAAGGGATGACTAGAATTTAGCAACATTAGGCGTATTCGGTGGTTCGCAAGTACGGCAAAAAACAGCAAGTTGTTGGCCTATGCAGGCCTATACTGGCCGCAATGTATGCAAAACAACAACACTATTTTCTCTACCTCGGCCAGCATAGTTATGCTGGCCAACCACATCGGCCAGTAAAAAAAAAAATGTTACCAACGCAATAAGCGAACTATTGTGAACCTTCATTGAAAATTCCAACGAATAGTGCAATCAAATGTCAAAAATTGAGGAAATAAAAATTCAAACAGAATTCAAAAATTTGAAAAATCTTGAAAAGTAACGAAGAAATAATAAGAATGGAGAAATCGTAAGTATTAAGCACATTGAATTTTTTATTATGTTAGTTATTACCAAGTAACATTTATTTTATTTCATTTAATTTGTAGTTTACATACGTAAAATTAATAAACAAACATAATTTTTGAAGTTTTACTAAAAATTTTTTTATAGAAATACACCCAAACTATGGACTACAAAGGAAACGAAGTGTTTTCTAGAGTGCTACTTGACACGAAAGGAAGAGAATCTTCACAGGAGGTTGTTGCGGCATTCATAACATTTAAAAAATCCGTGAAACAACTTGCATCCCTCGGCCACTGCAAAACGTTGCTTCCTTCTCCCAACACGACAGTACCTACAAAAATTTACTTATCTTAGTGTTTTATTTTTAAATTTCCAATATTCTTATCATTCCTTTTAATTCCATGTTCATTTTAATTTTATAATATTTTTATAAATATATATTTGATTTATATGCACATATACAAGATTTGCTGTTTGTCAAAACAAAACATTTGACAGATTGCAACAGTGATGCCAATGACTTGCGTGGCCAACATAGGCCAACATGCATTTTTTGCCGTACTTGCGAGCCACCGAAAAGGCCTATTATTCAAGTGAACATTCACAATAGACACTCATAATATGTTTTAAATGAAACAAACAAACAGCTGAGCTATAAACAAAGGCAATGATGAAGTAAGTATTTAATGAAATCTTTGTTTTTACTAATTGAATATATAATTGGTATATAATATGTATAAAAATGATTTTATATCTCAATTATATACTTAATTTTTTGTGTGATATATCACTGAGGTCAAGCTTCACACTGGGCTGTAGTGTCAAATAAGAAAAAGAAGATATTATTAAGTGAAGTTCATAAAAGTTCTGTCAGCTGCATAAATGAATCATTATAAAGTGAATGTTTAGTCATAAATATAAATTAGCAAGTGTTTCTAAATGAGACTGTGTGAATGTATTATTAGTTACAAAGAAATATGTTTGAAATGTTTTATGTGATATATGAACAATATTTAGGTCGTGTGCGAGTTAGGCTAAGTTGCGTTCTAAATGAGGGAAATTCTAAGTTGTGCCGATAATGTAGTGATGTGTCGATACGTGTTGATAAATGGCTAAATATGTGCAGTGCAAAAAATCCCAAAAAATCTCCCATTTGGTTTAGCATCAACTTAGCCTAACTCGCACACGTCCTTAATATTTCTGTAAACTTTTCATGTTCTACTTGTTTATAAAATTGCGGTTCTTTTCAATGATACACAAAAAAAAGAATACACATGTCAAACAATATTTTGCAAAATGTATGTATGTTAATTATCTGGCAACAAGCTTACTTTTCAAAAAGCACGTTTAAAAAAACTAAACGGTAAATACTAATAAAAAGTATAAACAGAAGAAGTATTTCTGAAGCATTAAGAATTCGAGATTAAATGGATTTTTCAAAAAATAAGGTAGTTTTCTATTTAAAAAATATTTTAATAAGCATTTTAAATTATATTTTTATAAAACTTGTTTTGGTAATAGTACGAAGATATTCGAATTTCCGTGCCTTGGGGACATATTTCTGGTCGTTGGTATGGCAACAGAAATCGACGTCCAATATTAGCACTGCATGGTTGGATGGATAACTTAGGTACTTGGGATTTATTAATACCACATTTACCGAAACACATTGGTATTCTTGCCATTGACTTTCCTGGACATGGACAATCATCGCACTATCCTCAGGGAATGCAATATCATGTGATAGAATATGTTACTGTTGTTATGCATATTATAAAAAAATATAATTGGAAAAAAGTTTCATTAATGGGACATTCAATGGGCTGTGTTGTAATATACATATATACGGCATTATATCCATCAACTGTGGATTTAATAGTTAACTTTGACGTAGTGAAACAGGCTTTTCGGAAAGCTGATAGTGAAATTAAACGTCTTCAAGGTAGTTTAATACAGCGGTCAAATGATATAACTGAATTGGAAAATAAAAGCGAACCAAAATCTTATGAGTATAAAACTTTAGAATACATAATTCATAAAGGATCTGGTTATTCCGTGGATGTTAATAATTCCAAATATCTTCTATGTCGAAGCATAATCGA